TGAGAAATCCGCTGACAGTCTGATGGGAACTACTTTATAGGTGACAGTCCCCTTATCTCTTGCTGCCTCTAGGATCTCTCCTTCATTTTAATCTTGGCTAATGTAATGATGATGTACCTTGGTGTGTTCCTCCTTGGGTCCAACTTCTTTGGGACTCTCTGAGCTTCCTGGACTTCCTGGAAGTGTATTTCCTTTGCCAGATTGGGGAAGTTCTTCTTTATCATTTGTTCAAATAAGTTTTCCACTTATTGCTCTTCTTCTTCCCCTTCTGATACCCCTATAATTCGGATGTTGGAATGTTTCAAGATACTCTGGAGGTTCCTAAGCCTCTCCTTATTTTTTTTAATTCTTGTTTCCTCATTCTTTTTTGTTTAGTTGTTTATTTCTTCTTTCTGGTCCACTCGATTGATTTTAGTCCCAGTTTTGTTTCCATCACTATTGGTTCCCTGTGCATTTTGCTTCGTTTCACTTAGTGTAGCCTTCATTTTTTCATCTAATTTGTGACTAAAATCAACCAGTTCTGTGAACATCCTGATCACCAGTGTTCTGAACTGTGCATCTGATAGGTTGGCTATCTCTTGGTCACTTAGAAGTATTGGCTCTAAAGCTTTGAGCTGTTCTTCTGCTCGAGCCATAATGTTTTGGTCAGGTTGCGCCTGTTATGTATGAGGGGCGGAGACTTGGTATCTACCAGGGTGGGGGGACCCAGTCGCTTGGTTGTGACGCTGTATGTGGGGGCGGGGTCAGAGAGGGAGCAATGGCATTTTTTCTGCTCTCTCTCGAATTTTGGTCCCCTCTACTGCTTCCCACAAACAAATTGGGCCTTTCTGGTGCTGGTTCCCGGGTGGGTGGGCTTATGTACATTCTAGGACCCTGTGGGTCTCTCCAACGAATTCTCCCGTGAGGCTGGGAGCCTCTTCCAGCACCTGAACCCACAAAAGTTTCTCCAATCAGTGCTTTTAGGCTTTATTTCCTGTGGCTGGGGCCCTGGTTTGCATGGTCTGTCTCACTGCTTGTTTTTTTTTTTTTTTGTCTGTTTTATCTGCACGTGAATTTGTGACCACAGTCAGCCAGCCCCCACTGGGTCTGCCCGTTGCCACCCCACGCCTGGGATCTGCCAACTGCCCCCTGCGTGCCTGGGTCAATCTGGCCACTTTTTCCTGCCATGACCCCTCTCCACCGGCTGCCGACTCCACCCCTCTTACCAGTCTGGATGAATGGTTCATAGTTGGACTTCTGTACAGTTCAATTTTCTGTCTGTTTTGGTTGTGTTTTTGTTTCTAAATCTTTGTTGTCCTTAAATTTGGTTGTGCAAGAAAGTACACAATTTCCATTTACGCCTCCATCTTGGCCAGAAGTTCTCTAGTGGAGTCTTGCTTCAACAGCCATATAGGAAATTATTGGCATTGGTACTATTTGTTGCTCCTAAGGTACCACCTACATCCTATAGTACTTGGAGTGATTGAAAAGTTTGCCCTTTTGACCATTTTAAAAGTTCACCAGCCTTCTTTGTAAGTATTCAGAAATCAATGGCTCATTCAAATGCAGAGCTGATCCGCTCCTCAGTCCCATCATAATTGTCCAAAAGCAAGTTTTCCAGCTGTACTCAGGACACACCTCTAGGCCAGAGACAGTTTGCTTAAAGAGCTCCTATTAAAACTTCATCAGAACACTATTAAGTCACAGAAGCAACCTGTACAATAATGTTTTAACTGGATCTAATTTGGCAACCACACTTTTTTGCCTAGAAACAATTTGTCAAATGTTTAAAAAAAGGAAAAAAACAAGCTAACCTATCCGTTTCAGTTTTTTTTCCCTTATCGACCTCAATCCTATAGCCTTTTTGGTTTTTTTGAGTGAAATGATTCTGAAGCACGTTCTTTACACTCCCTTCTAGTTGTTCCACAGATTCAGCTCCAGTCATCTGCTGTAGCAGCTGGTCAAACAGTGCATCCTCTATTGGACTCTGAAATAAACTACTTGAATGCTTGTCTTGGGATCTGCTTCTGAGGGACCCAAACTGAGGCATCCTCAATGTAAAACCCTCCTTTTTTCTTACTTGGAAAGAGGTAGCATTGCCTGGCCACTTTCTTGAGACATAATGGCAGATAGAATTTAGGAGAAATAAATTTTACCAATAAAGGAGAGGTACAAACATACTATTCCCGCTATACCCACGATCCAGTAGCCCTTTGTGCCCTCAAGAAAAGGGCATAATTCTTATCTAGACATTTCTTCTTCTAAAATATTAGGAGATAGCTGTATCTCCAGAATGGATTTCTCAACCACATCCACTTACCCCTTTCCCACTTAAATTAGGTAAAGTGTAGCCATTATTTTCACCTCCTACAATTAAGAGATACTATTTTGTGCCCAGGAAGCCAGGTTTCCTCATAGACTAAGGTTTAGCTAGTCTTCACTATCCAAGAAAAGAAGCAACCTTGTGTCCAGCCTCTCCGTCCCTGGATCAGGGCCTAGACACAGAATGAATTAACCCTTGATTTTGATTCAGCCTGTGGAACCAACAAGCTAGACACAGATTCTTAGAAGTCCTTAATCTTTCTCATGAGCCTCCCACTCCGCTAGAAGACAAACTGAGTCATCATTAAGAGAACATCCAAAGATAATTTTCCAAAATCTCAAAATGAGAATTGCCTGAGGATGATACACAATCCAGAGACAATGAAAAAAAAAAGCAATAAATTTGACCCATATTTAAAATTTTCTGAGTTGTTAAAAATAGTTTTAAAAATGAAAAAATAATAATTATGCCCGTATATATAGATGCTAAGCCACTCAATCTTCCCCAAGAGGTAGAGGTTATTAACTCCAATTTCAGAGAAAACAATGAATCTTGGAGAGGTAAAGTGACTTTTCCTAAGGTCACCTAGTCGAGGCAAATATCATACCCTAAGTTGGAGTCACTCCCAAGTCCCTGATCCTCAGGAGTTAGTCAAGGGAAGAGCAGAAGAGAAGGAAAGCAGAGCAAAATGTGGACCTTGGGAAGGAATATATCTGCCAGGAAGGGCTCCTTGTGGCTATTGGGTACAAATCCAGAGTCTAACAGCCATGCTACAGAGGCCTTTCATGCACTCTGCAATGTGTTCCTGACATCTAAGCTAACCATTACAAAGGAATTCCTGGAATTATCTTTTAACCCTGGGCCTACACCTGACTCATCCAATTGCAATTCTGCAGCTACATCTTCATTTGCATCTATACTGACCAATCAGAGTGACCCCATAACAACCAATCAGAATGTGGGAAGCTGACCAATCTCAGAATAGTGCTATTTGAGCCAGTCAGACTATGCAAATTTGGATTACTCATTTGCATAAAAATAAACCAATTGTGCAGGTGAGCAGAAACTTTCTCTATAAAATCTAGCCTCTCCTTTGTTTAGGCAGAGATCACTTTCCTTTTCCACTTGAGCCTGCCTAAGTTTGCAAACTGTTCATCTGAATAAAGTTTTTCTTTTTTCTGTGCTACAGATTGGGGACTCCTGTTTACATTACACTGGTGGCAACAAACTTTTGATGACAAAATGAAGGGGAAAGGCTAAACTCCCTAAGAGGAGGGGTTTCAGAGAGGGCATGGACACTGCTTCTTCAGTCTGAGTGGAGAGGGAGGGACCAGCACCTTCACTTGGGCATGTATTGGGTGCTAGCTGTGCACTCCCGGTGCTGATACTAGAGGAACAATGATGGGCCCTCCTAAAAGTGGGGGCAGTGTGCCTGCCCAGACAACCTTATGGGAGCACTGTGAGAATCTGCAGAACAGGCAGGAGATTAGAGCCAGCTCTATAAAACACTCTCCGTATTAACAATTTGTCACCAATGCTAGAAAAACCTGGGTATTATGTGTGAAGCAATCACGAAACCTTGACATAACCCTTGACGTCTCTGTTTTTTGCACACTCCAATTCACTCCACCTGGAAATCCTATTGGCAGAACCTGATGAATCTTGACCTTCACCCTACCACCCCTGAGAGGACTGAGATTTATGGAGGGGTTTGGGTGGGAAAGGAAGCCAGACCACAAACTCAGGAAGTAAATTACCTAAGAAGACCTTGGAGGATAGGTACTTGAATCTCCAAGACCCCAGGATTTTGTTGTGATTGCTTCCCTTTGAGAGGTGTCCAACCAGTGGCCCCACACCACATGCGGCCCAGGATGGCTATGAATGCAGTCCAAAACAAAATTGTAAATTTATTTAAACCATTTTTTTTGCTCATCAGTTTTCATTAGTGTTTGTGATTTAATCTGTAGCCCAAGACAACTCTTCTTCTAGTGTGGCCCAGACACCAAAAGTTTGGACACCCCTGTTAAAATGTTCATTTGCAAGCCTTGATTCTGTAGGGCTTTCTAAAACAGCCTTTCTTCCTCTTCCTGCCCCCTGACCCCCACATTTTATAAACTTCAGGTCCCAGAAAACCTTCAGCCACTCTGGGTTTGAGGTCTCAGAGCTCACCAGGGCAGGACTTGAGAACAGAGGTGTAAATTTGTCAGGAGAAAGGAGGCAGGGCCACAGAGAGAGAGTAAATCTTCATCTAACATGGCAGAAAGTCAATAGATAAATCAAGAAATCGCTATGTAAGCTTATTTTTTTTTAGCAACAAGGGGTGACCACCAGAAGAACTAAACGAAGGAATTGATATAAAGGGCTGTGTGTGGAAAGCAAGAGAGAGAGGGGCCTGCTGCTTTCATTATAACAACATTCAGAAAATTTTATTTTGTAAAAGGTGGTCATGCATTACTTTAATATATATTTTTAACTTGATCTTTAAAATTAAAGCAAAATTAAATTAAGTAAGAAGTAAAGTGGAATACAAAGCAGGAACAAAGAGGAAACGCTACGGCGGAAGAGATAGGGTTGGGATGAGACGGGAGGCTTGGGGCGAAGGGGCGGGGCGAAGAACCTGGTCTCCTTACAGCCCGCCCCCATTGAGGGGGTGGGGCTTAGACTTAAGTTTTCCTGTGACTCCGCCCAGAGAGGGTAGGCTTGGGTGCGCGGGGTCAAGATCGCCTTAGACCCGCCCCCCAGCGCCGAGTCGCAAAGGGGGAATCCTTGCGGGGGTGTTCCGAGACCCGGCCCTCTGCGCTCCAGGTCCGTAGGTGCAGGGCTTTGCGCGGGCCGAGAGCCCTGGTTCTGGCCTGTCGATGTCCCAGTCCCCGGAAGTTCCCCAAAGCTCTGCAAGTGCCTCTGAGGAGCCGCGGGACGCGCAGGTAAGAGCAGCCAGCGCCGGCCAGGTCTGCCCGCCTTTGACCTCGTGGGAGCCTGCCCAAACTTGGACGCCTGGGCAACCGGTGGCGGCAGGGTGCGGAGCCTGGTAAGGAGTCCCGGATCAGAAGGGCTCCAGAACGCATCTCTTCCACCGCTTCACGCCGTTCATTCTTGCCTCAGTGTTGTCAAACTTAACCCCATTATTCCTGTGGTTCTGACCCGAGGTCGGCAGACTGTGAGTTTGCATCCCACCTTCACATAGCAGATACAGATGAGTATTCCACATATTCTTATCGTGTGCCGCTGAGTTGCCCGCCCGCCACTGGCCTGAGTGTCGGGTCCACACAGCTGTGGGCAAACGCGCATGGTGAGTGCCACTGTGGAGCTCACAGTGTGGTGGGCAAGATCCACTCAAATGTAAAAGTTAAAACTGGTAAGTGCTGTGAGGCTAGAAATTCAGGGTGCTGGGAGAGCACATAACAGGTGGTCCCCATCTGTAAAGGACTCCGGAGTTCATTTCTTTATGCTGCGAAGGATTCCAGGGTGGAGAACAACAGAGCAAAGACCTTTTTGTTGAGAGAGAATGCGGCCCGTTTGAGGACAGGAAGACCATCAGGGCTGTCCTGCAGAAAACTGGGGTGAAAGGAAGTTCCTTAACTTTCTTCTCTGTGAAATGGGACTGTCCCTACTCACTGATGACTGAGAGATGCAGCGTAATTGACTTGGCAGCACTCCAGGTGCAGTAAGTAAAGTCAAGGGGAGGACCTTTCTGGATGGCACAGGATGTTGATTCTAATAAGTAGTGTGCTGCCTCTGAGCAAACTCACTTCCCTCTCTTGGAGTCCTGTTTCCTTGTCTGCATCTCTCAAACAGTCTGTTCTCTGAAATGGTAACTGGTTTGGTCATTTGTTCTGGAAACATGTCACTGGCACTTACTTTACACTGGCTCTGAGGATTGAAAGAGTAATCAGACGTGGACCCTGCCTTCCTGGAGCTCATGTCGGGTGGGCAGGCCACCTGAAGTAAACTGAGTTCCAGCCTGGTGGGCTTGGTGCTCTTAAGACCCCAGAGGAGCGTGTCCGGCCCTCTGACCTTGCCTGGGAAAGCCCCTCCACTTCTGGCCAGATGCCCATTTCCCAGAAAGCCTCACCTGTTACTGCCAGCTACCTGAGCCCCATCAGAACATTAGGCTCACACTCCTCCACTGAACATCAGTTACTTCCTTACTTTTATTAATAGTGTCACCCCCTAAAACTGCCCAAAAATCACCTCAATGAGGACTCCTGAGATTTCGAAACCCCAGGAATCTAGGAGAGAGTTTTGGGCTTCAGGAAACACCTGTTGACTGTTTGGTGTATTTTATTCACTCGGATGATCCCCATTCCCTTCTTTGGCTCTGTTACACTGTTGGTATAGACAGGATTTGCTCCATGAAAAGTGGCTGGGAGGCTTGGAGTGGGGAAGCACAATTGAGACACCAGTCTGGCGCCATTTGTAGGTGGTGGTGAAAAAACAACAACTGATATTAATGGAAGGGTACAGGAAGGAGAGGGAGAAAAGACAGTCTTTGTTTCCCTTTGCAGACCCCAGCAGTGCCAGACTTGGAAAGAAGGAGAGGAACTCTAGGCTTGGCAGTCACAGATGTGGGTTCAAGTTCTTAATCATTATTTCCCAGCTATGTGAATGACCCTGGACAGGTCACTTATGGTCTGACTGTGCAAGCTGAGCACAGTGTTTGGCGTACAGTTTGCCCTGAAGGACTATTAATTCCTGCCCTCTTCCCCTAAATGAACTAAAATAGGAATAATAATAGTCACTACTTAGAGGGTTACTATGGGGATTTAATGAGTTACTGTAAGTGAAATACACAGAGGAGTGCCCAGTGTGTAGGAAGTTAGTACTACTGCTGCTGCTATTGCTAGGAATAGCTTCTGTTTGTCCAGAATAAGAAATGCCCTATTCTGAGCAAAGACTGGTAAAACAAGGGAGGAGGAGGGCAAGAAGTGGGGGTGAAGGATGGCTCTGAGGGACTGTGCAGGGTGATTAGGCAGGCAAGATGGGTTATCTGTGGCAGTGGCTTCACCAGAAAGCATCAGCCCAGTCAGGAGAAAAGGGGTGTTCTCCATGATAAAGGGCCTCCTGGGCAGCTATGCTGTCAGGAGGCCTCAAGACTCAGGCCAAAGAAAACACAGCAAAAGTCATGGGGTAAACTAGGGTTGAAAAAGATCTAACATTGTCTTATTCTGGTTGTGTCTCTGACCCACAGCTGGGTGTGGGTCTCCTTCGGGGAGCTGCCCCTGACCTTCACCCTCATGTGGTAATGGTCTGACCCTGGTTGGTCTGGGAGCTTGGACTCCGGTTCTGTAAGTCCTATATCCAGCAGAGTACTGAGCCCATAATGAATGTTAAAAGAAAGGAGGTAGGGAAGGATGACGAGTGTTTCTGAGCACCTGCTAAGGTAGGGGCCAAGCTTTTTCATTTACGTTGCAGCTTACTGTGAACACTGCAGCTTTGGAGTCAGATAAAATACCTGTGTGACCTTATGTATGTTACGGAAGCTCTCTAAAGTTCAGTTTCGGCATCTGTAAAATGGGAATTACCATACCTAACTCATAGGGCTGTTATAAGTATTAAGTAGTGCTCATGTACAAATATATGAAGTGCTATTCTTAGTGCACAGCACAAGGCCCAGGAAGTGCTCAGTCAATGATAGCTGCAGTTCTTATATTTATTAATCCTCCCAAAGATCTCCACTGGGATGGAAGGCCACAGGCACAGATGGGTGGTGTTGATTCTGAGCCTGTCCCATGGGGAAGCAAGACACGGCTCCCTGCAGACACGAACCAGACAGGTTGGGTGAAATGAAGTTAACGTTCTGTGCATTTCACTCCTTACTTAAGGTACTTGACTATGTGAAATCTTAAAAGGAAAAAACCCACAAAATTATAATTTATGTGCCTTTTAAGTTCAGGTATTTTATCATCTAGATAAATCTTCCATGTATCTATGTTAAACCACTTTAGGCTGTCGAAGCTCTTAAATAAAGTGGCTTGTCCTGCCCAGTGTCTGTCTTTGCTCGTTTATCTTAGGTCCCTGGTGAAGACAGACAGGTCCCATTTTGCAGGGCAGGCCTCAGGATGACAGCCCCCGTGTTTTAGCAGTGCAGTGCTGCATGGTGGTGTTTAACAAACCAAAGTGGACTATGATTTCCTCACCCCCATCTCTCACGTGCACATAGACCCGCAGTGCCAGTCCAGGGCCTAGGAGTGGAAAGGCATTCTATTGCTACTGGGAATCTGGAGAAATCCGCTTCAGGGCACTTTTAGGTTCTCAGTGACAGGTTTTTGGGTGAAAGTGCCTTGGATGAGGTTGGCGGTGTCTTCTAGAAGTGAGAGCTGTCTGCTCTTTCCAGCCAGGAATGCCATTTCTGGGGCCAGCCCCTAGCCCAGTGAAAATCTCACTTGCATGTCTGCCTCCCTGCTGTCCCTGTTTCCGGCCAGAGCTAACCCCTAAAGCCAGATTCCTGGAGCAGCTACCTTCCTGTAGTCCCAGTGGGCACCTTGCCAGGCATGCCCTTCTCCAGCGGCTCTGGAATTACCTCTGAGAGTAGTTGTGGTGCGGTGAGCTCTGGAACCCTCTCCTCAGTGACAGGGGCCCACCTAAGAGCCTATTTGTTCTCTTCTTTGATCCCCCTGGGTACCCCAGGGTGAGGTTCCAGCGCAGATTTTATCATGTTGTAGCTAGTGACCTGCCATTTGGGAGAGGGCAAAGCTGACTGCTGTTGTCCAGAGGGCGGGAACACCTGTCTGCAAGCAGAGCCAGGCCAGCCTCCTCCAGAGGGAAGCCATGCCCACCTCCAACGCCATTCAGTTCCATTGAGAACAAGGAGAAAACAACATTAAAAAGCTGGTTTTGAATAAGATATGATCCCAACAGCCCCAAGAAGCATTCTCTTTTCATGACTGAATATGATTAGTTATTTTTATCTGTTTGGCCAGAGCTGTTGACAAACTACATCTTTGATCCCCACCAGTCTCAGATGTAGAACTCAATTGGGAGTTGAGCTGCCATCTTCCCCGAAGCAAAGGAAGGGAACTGGCATCTGTGCAGAAATCCACAAGACTTGTGGGCTCTGAGGAAGAAACGTGTCCATCCGTCAACCTGGAAGTTTTTAGAGCTCCTAAGATGGTTTTAAGTTAGAGCCGGTTTTCCTTCCTGTCTTCCCCTGTCCATCAGCCCCCTCTCCCTTGCTTTCTCTTACAAAATGAACTGTCAAGGCAGGACAGAGCCCAGGTAGGAGTGTTGGAACTGACTTGCAGAAGCAGAGTTAACGTATTAAAGGCGGATGTGTGGGGGTTTGATGCCTTGATTCCAGTCCTTCCTACCTAGTCCAGTGTTTAGAAGAGAGGACTGTGGAGCAAGACCAACCAGTCCTGTTCAGCCTAATTGCATACTAACCACAGCCATCAGCTCTGCTGTCAGCCAGTTTGCTCGCTGAAAAAGGACTTGAAATTGGGAGTGGGGGGAAGAGGATGAAAACAAGTGATACAAACGAATCCCAGTGGGGCCCAGTGGGGCCCAAATATTGGAGAGAATGAATGTCAGTGTCAGTAAGGGAATCACACCAAGCCAGGTAAAGAGCAGACTTTAAAAGGCTAGATGTTTCGCTATGAGCAGGTGATCATTAGGACAGAATGCCTGTTACATGAATTAGTGTAGGACTCTAACCTGAAATTACTGACTTCCAAATGTTCATTTATAGCCCTGGCTGGTGTGGCTCAGAGGATTGAGCGCCGGAGTGCGAACCAAAGGGTCATCAGTTGGGTTCCCAGCCAGGGCACATGCCTGGGTTGTGGGCCAGGTCCCCAGTCGGAGGGAGCTCGAGGGGCAACCACACATTGATGTTCTCTCCCTCCCCTTCTCCCTGCCTTCCCCTCTCTAAAAACAAATAAATATAATCTTAAAAAATAATAAAATAAAGATCAGATGTAGGTGTTTACAG